GATCAGATTCTATTTTTTCTTCCCTCCCATCAATAAATGCAGACAAGTTTTTATTGTCCTCATAGTCTCCTGACACCTGACACATCTTTCCTACCAGCAGGCACAGAATCTGTGACAAAATGTATTTATTTTACCCTCAGCTGTTGCAGTTGATCTCTTCCACCTTCTGTTCCTCCTTCCTGCTTTTCTGCCACCTTTGACTTCCTACTATCTGCTCTTAAAAGTACTCATCTTTATTTTCCCTATGCAAGGTGTCATGAGGGGAAAGGCTGTTCTGTCCCTGAGCTGGGCAGCTGTCACTCACACACAGCTCTGTAGCAAGGCTGAACTGGACAGGCTCATGATGGAGCTGCTCTTCTTTTTCCCCAGCCCCAAGGATGGAGCAGGACTGGCTGTATTTTCTCCCATTGCTTTGGCAACAGCTGAAAATGTTTTCACAAGCAGAAAGACCCCAGTGGTCCCCAGGTCAGCCTGAGCACCTTCTGCCCGAGGAGAACCCCCCTGCTGACCTGCAAGAGCACCCATGTTCTGGGTGTGTGCATCCATGGCATTTCCACTGATGCCTCTGTGAACTCAAGAGAAATCCAGCACTTTGGAATGCAGGGTCAGGGCAGGGGGCTGGCTGTGGCTGCCTTTACACCAGCTGAGCACTAGGTAGCACTGTCACTCCAAGAAAGCAAAGCCAGGCACATCAGCGTTGGAATTGCTTTTCCTTTCCCAGTCCAGAAATGAGAGCATTAGCAGAGTAAGACCCTTATTTGTAGAACTAATCTAAGTACACCTACAACCCCAGCATTCTCATGACCTCTGATACACAACAGTGTATCTTTCCTTTTTTCCCCTTTTTTTAAAAATCAGAATTTATGATCTTCAATCTTCACAAATAATGAGATTTTACACTGATATTTTATGTTTGCATCTATTTGATGTAAGAAAACATGATTAAAGATGATGATGGTGGAATACCTCCACAGAACAATTCCCTCAGTACTCAAATTATCTGGAGATCTAGAACACAGTCCACTCTACCTGTCACCATCCAAAAAAACCTCAGTTCATCTCAGGGTGACAATAGCTAGCTGAACACAACTCTCTTTAGACAGTATAAACATTAAGCCCAGATTCAAGAGCACAAAACAAAACAAAAAAAAACACAAGTGCTGTTTCTCATGACCTTTGCAGCTTATTAGTAATCTACTTGATAAAGTGGTTCTGGATGGATGTGCATTGAATGTCACTGCTCTACAACCATCCCCAGGAGGCTTTAGTTTGGTGATGTGCTCAGAAATCTTCTGTACTTTCCAACACTTTGGAATACATAATTTTATTTATAACACATAATTATTTTAGAATCAGCAATGAGATTTTACTACAGGTACATTATTTGCTTCTGAAAGCTTATCCTCTCCAGAAAGACTGACAGCCAAGTGTATGCTGGAAGAAAGCACTTCTGCTAATTTCATCATGTTTGAGGTGTAAAAGGTAGCTGTAACAAAGGAGATGTTCCTGGAGCCCTAAAGATTTTCTTATATTCAATGGCTTGAGAATCTTAATGGTATATTTTTTTCCCCCCCTATTTTAATAACAGCCTTTGGTGAAGCAGGGACGAGAATTTAAAAGTTTTTAGTGATTAGGCAACAGAGGGTATCTCAAAGGTTATATATGGGGAAAGATAATTTTCTCCATTTCTAGGCTATGGGAAGGGAAAAATGCCAAATTTCCAACTTCAACTCTAAGTTTCCCCCATCCTGTCTTATACATGCCCAGTTATTCCCAAACTGTGACTCACAGAACACCTCAATGAAAGCTGATGGCAAAGCTTGGAGCATTGAACATCATAAACTAAGGGAAGTTTTTAACTTCCCTTCCCATAGTCTGTGCAAGTTACTTGTACCTTGAGAATGATACTGACAAGAAAAAGCTTAAAAAAACCCAACCCAAGCCTTCTGGACCCAGAAAAGCAAAGTAATCTCTTCCTCCCTGCTAACTCCATTGATAAATGACAAGACTTTTTCTACAACTTAAACCTATTACATCAGCAAAGATTCACTTTCTGAGGAAAGACACAGAGGATGATCACACTGTAACAAATTCAGGACATTTGGAAACAAGAGCTGGTGTGGGATCAACTGCTTTACAGATGCCCCAGCATGGAAGGTGAAAATTAAGCAGAGGTCCTCAACCAGGTGGGACAAGTGCTTGTGGTCTATTCTTGTCAAAGAGCAAAGAGATCCTTGGAAGTATTTCTTTCTCCTCTCTGGGAGCTCTGTCTCAGTGTAGCCACTCCCACATTCACATCTTGACTGCAGCAGAAACTGATAGACGAGATACTCGGATTTCTGAGCTGTGTTTGCACACTGCTTTGAAGCAAGGTGCTTGTTTAACATCAGAGGTGTATGCCCCACTCTTACCTTTAACCAGGGATCTGGGGGGTTGGATGTGTTATTTCAAGACACTGTCCAGGCATGAACAGAATTCCCTAAGTTTTGATTCAGATTTAAATTTCCTTTCCAATTACAAAAAAATTAAGAATGAATTCAACTTGCTTCCCCTGGGAACAAATAAAATGATAAAACTTGATCTCAGAAGAGCTCCGTTCCTTAAGGAAAATTTTGCTGAATACAGTCAACAGCTGAAGACAGGATCTTCTACATCTTAAAGACTGAGTCAGATAGAACGGACACACCTTTCCCTCCTCTTACTATTTCTTCAGCTCCATCAGACACTAGCTAAAAACCTGGGCACCTTGCCTAATTTCAAATAAAAGCAGCTAGAATTTCTCACCTTGCTGTCTTCTCACAAATGCCATCTCCCCAAATCTTTCCTATTTCAGTCCATCAAGCAGTAACACTCCACCTTAGAGGATCAGAGCTCTGCACTACCCAAGATCTGTTTGCTCTGGTCCCTGCCTCTCACACTCACTGTCCTCACACAGGAACCCCCAAAGCCTGCATGGAAAGAGCCCTTCCAGCCACCACTGGGCTCTCTTCAGCAGCTCACTTCAGCACTGCTCCCTGCAAAATCCCTTACATGAAACATATACTAAATGAAAAAAGAGGAAATAATTGAGTATCTCTTTGCTGTTGAAGCCTCCTGACCCTCCCAGCTGCAGGGGATTTCCTACAGCACTGAGCACAAACAACAGTTAAAACATTAATTTACAGCCAGGAAAATCCACTCATTTACTTCAGGATATTGACCTCTTTCAAAATCTAGCACCACCTGTATAAATCTGATTCCTGTGGATAGCAACAAAGTCACTTAAAATTGTTGCTGCCTCTTCCTCAACTGGTGCATTAACACTTCTACGGTGCCACTTCTCATGGTACCATTGAAAAACAAAATCAAAAAGCTAAGTATTACAGATGGTGGAACCAGTCTCACATTCCTCCTACAAAAGCATCACTTTTTTTCCAGCATATGTCACCATTCATTCTTGTGAAACATCATTTAGTCTCAAACAAGCCAGGAAATTTCAAGCCTTCTAGAAGTCAGACTTGAAATTCAAGTGCAGAATTAGCACAAGAGCATTCTGCATCATTAGCTAAATTCAAGCCTCTTGTTCAAGTACTACTTCAAGATTTCCTGTAAGGTGAAAATGGACAATGATTCAAAAAGCATAATTTCCAAAGGTACAGTTGATACTGCTGCAAGAATACAAGTTCTGGAAGGCAGATATTCATCAAATCCCACTACAAAATTAGTCATTGTTTTTTCTCCTGTAAGTACATCCTTCTAAATTGGCCTGTGACATTGAATTGAGAGACCAGGGTTTGGAGTCTGCTATGAAACAGCAAGTACTGAATAAATTTTTTAGCACATTCTCAATAACTTCTGTCAATTGTGAGATTTCCTTGCAGGGTTTCTATTAATCTCCTTCTAATATTCTCATGCAAGATTTAGCAAGTAAACACTGAATAAATGTGCTTTGGAACTGTATGAATAATTTCCTAGAGTACTACAGAACATGAAGGCACAAAGTATTTTGTGAGGGTAGTTTTGCTTTCCCAAACAAATTAAACCTCTCTGAATTGATGACGTAAATAATTCAGCATTATTCCACTCACTAAATTAGGAATAAATGAGGCAGAGTGTTCATCTTTAGGAGAGCAGTGTGTTTTGCAACAGACAAATGATCCCAGTAATAAAGAAGTCTCACAGATTCAATTCAATTCATTCTTCTCACACCTCCAATTCATGCTTTGCATTTGTCTGAAAATGTTCCTGGCCAAAGGAAAAAGATTTCTCACCTCTATTTTTCATTATTCATTGACTGATATTTTTAAATACAGTAACAATAAGTCAGACAGGGCCTCCTAAGTCTTCCACTGCTTTGAAAACCTCCTGCTTTCCTCAAGTCATTTAACTGACACATCAGTTCCAGGAGGCAGTTTGTGAACAGAAGCTGCACAGCAGACACAACAGTGTGTGCATGTCATAACCTTGTTCACAGGCCCCTACCAAAGAGAACCTTCTAAAAAGTTAAGAATCGATAAAATCCTCCAAAGACTGTTTTTTCATCTGAAGAAGTAGAGGATGCTTCTCAGTACAAAATACTCACTGGGTCATTAGGTGCTTGTACCCCAGGACTGCAGTGACAGGAAAAGGTAAATGTCAAAAAGGAGAGTAGGTGCAAGTCAACAATAAACAAGGACAGCACGCAAAATACATTTGCTTTGATATGACCATCTGGATTTAACAACCTCACAGAATGGACAGGCTTGTACTGCCTAAGTAAACAGCAGAGATAGCACAGGAACTCCAAAATGAAGGAGAATTTTGCAGCAGGAATGTGATGGTTAGCAAAATCCTACCATGCCTCCTGTGCTGCAATATCATCACGTGCTTGTCTTTGCTACCAGGAGTAGCTTGTGTGGGTGGGGGTGCCTTCAAACATAAATTACCAATAAACACACATTGTATTTAGTGTCAGGGAATTAATTGAGCTTTCCGGAATGAAAGCCTTTTGGCACAAAAATGATAAACCAAGGTTGACCTACCTGAATGGGTCCCACTGACATCAGCAGGTTTTTCAGTTGGACATCAGTAGTTGATGAAGAAAGCCCTTCAACTGACACAATACAGGGCTGAGGTTTGCACTCCACCACTCGCAGGTTCTGTTTATTTGGCATCAAGCGTCCTCGGCCCATCTGGCCTGCTACTCCTCTGCCTCTGCCGTGCATAATGACCTGCCAACAACAAAAGTAACAGTATTTTGATTTACTTACCCACTGACTCTGCTTGCTGCACTTGACAGAGGATATAAAAGTTGGCTATTTACTTGAAGACTTGATTAAAGTACACGTTGATGTAAATCAGCTTGTTGCTGTTTGCCAATTTGGAAGGCCACTTATTAACATATTCGTCCACTGCTTATACAAACCTCTATTAGCAGGATAAATTATATATTGAGTTATATAAACTGCATTCAACCTAGAAACCTCAGCTCTAGCACAGACTGATCAATCAAGTAGTGGAGGATCTCAGACAAAAATATATAACCTAGTGTTCAACATTGATCACATCAGCAGCATCTGTTCAGCTCCCATATTTTGAGTGTGGACAAAAAAACGCAACAGGTGATCCCTCTCCTTTTTCAATTCTTAATGTGTAGTTAAATTTAATGTACTTACAAGATTAGCAAAGTTCTTCAAGCACCTTCAATCTCTACTGCTACCAACTCTTGGTCTGTTACCAGAATGGAATTTTATTCACATAAGGTTAAATAACTTTAAAATAACTTTTTACAAAGTTCCTCTCTCCTGTACTCTGGAGCAGGAAATGCATGGATTTAATTCTTGCAAATTAAACGTCGAACAGTCAGAGAGTGGAAAATAACAATGAAACATAGTAACAAACATTAAACAGAGTTAACACTTAACACTGAGTCAACATTCCCTTCAACATCAGCAACAAAACTCTATCCTTATATGAAGCAGGAAGACATATCCAACAGTTCAGAACAAAGAACTAAAATGCCAGCTACTTTCAGGGAGTGTGCCAGCTTGCAAATGCAGAGAAGGCACACGGCGCTGCCACCCTGACCCTTCCCTGCCTCCTACCAGTGCATGATCAGAGCAAATATCAAGTTACAACATCACCAACAGTTTTGAGTGATACCAGCTTTGGGGAGCCAGTAAAGAGCATCCTGAAACAGTTACTGTGTGCTCCTACATATGCAGGAAACAGCCAAAATAAAACCTTAAACACAACTTCAAAAAACCATTTGGCTTTAAAGCCAGAAAGCACTTTGGTTACCATCTCCTCCAGCAGCTGTCTCAGGACACATGCACTTCCCCAGGGAGTGCTGAGCTGGCCACAACGTCAGCAGATGAAGCAACCTGCAGGCACTGCCAGTCTGTGCTGGGTACAAACAAGTCTCTCTAGATTAAAAGCTTTATATGCAATTATGCATCTCCTGGGTCATGCAGCCCTGTGCTAGCAATTGACAAACAGAATGCTGGTTATTAATAGAGCAACACAGCTAGACAGTGAAACTTCTAGCACCAATATGCATCTGAAAATCACCTTTTTAGGTTGATGGATTCCCTGGATGTTTTTGACTCCTTGAGGAGCTGGTGAATGGATCTGTGCCTGCTGCTGCTGCTGCTGCATTCCCTTTGTCAATGTGACCTTCCGCACTGGCTGCTGTTTTGGCTCCGGGGGTTGTTGAGGCCGCTGGAGTTGGCCCTCTGGGTGAAAAAAGCCAGCATCCTCTCCCCCCTGCTGAAATCAACAACACAACAGCGGCTCAGTGTCCAGGCACTGCACACCCTGGCCCTGAGCAGACTCCTGCCACATTCCAGCTCATTCAGAGAGTGTCCAGGGCTCTGCCTGCTAAAGCAAACTGGTGGCTGTGGCAGGCGCATGTAAAGGCTCAGCCTGGAAATTGCACTTCAGCCTAAAATAAATCTGTGCTATCTAAAGAACTGTTTACTTTGTTCAGGCTTTATTAGAATTACAATAGTCAGTCGTGTCTTTTCATAATCAAAGCAACAAGATGTTTTCTCTTTCCAAATCATTATTCCTTCCAGGTTACATGTGAACTATGGTGTGTGTGTTATTTTTTTATTATTTTCTTTTTTTTTTTAACGTAAGGAGAGACGTACGCATTGCAGAAGGAGGAGCAAAGAACTGTGGGGGCTGAAAGAATCAGGTAAATACTCTGTTCATCTTTAAACCTCCAACCTCCCTTTAGTTAAAAACTGGTATTTATTTTGAAGTGTATACTCATTCTGCCAACTTCTAGACCAGCAGCTTTTTAAGCAGTCTCCTTCCTTGGACACTGTCTGTACTTGGAACAGTTCCTCAAGGTGTTTTTTTGTTTGCCTTACAAAGCTCTCATTATATATATTTGTAGTGATAAACACAGTGAAACACCATCTCAGTGTGTCTCTCATCCAAGATTAACTCTTGCCATTACGTCTCTTGGTGCAATCAGGCACAGTAAAACCATGAGCTTAAAGCACTAAGAAAAGATTTCCTTCTGCTGCCTCTATCCAAACAGCTCTTTTTTTTCTACAAACAGGTGATTCTTGAATTTGTGTCTGCCTGTCCAAATTAGATGAACCACTGAAAACTCCATGGAGCAAGAACCAGCAGAGTCTGACAAAAGATCTTTTGCATCTATGACGTGCATGATATTATTGCATGATTTCAACAGCAGTATCTATTTCTTGACAGGACTTCAACTTTAGCCCTCAAATACTAATGAGCATTTTATCTGCAGGGGGAAGGCTTTGACTAACTCCCTAACCAACCTCTGGTAACCCCACAAAAGCTCTCAAATAGAAGACACATCTAAGGGGAAAAAGTAAATTATTATGAAAGCACCTTCATTTAAACAGGGTTTTCTTTTCCCCTTCCCTTAAATATTCACAAGCCAAAACTCCTTTTGCATCTCTAACAAATCACAAACCAGAGGGTTTCATGCTACCTGGCACATTTCTTGAGGATAAGGAGACAAAACACAAGGGTGCAGAAGGAACAGACTTAGGGTCTAACAGCAAGATTATTTTCATTGAGAATACAAATTAGTACCTCTCTACATTAAAGAAAAGCAAAAGAAACTCCTAGTGAGGACTAGTTACTAAGCCTCAGCTAAGACTTGGTAAGAACTAGTCTGTGGTACGTTTGCAAGTTCCTTAGTTAACAATTTACACCTCTAAATCAAGGCCTCTGCATCATAAAGCATATGTAGGCTACAACTTCTCAAGAACTCAAGTACTTAAATCCCAGACAAACGAGCTTCAAACCTTCTTGCACTACAACTCAAAAGCACAATCTGTCACAGGGAAAATCCTAAAGCTCATCATGGCATTTGTCCACAGTGTCCAAAACAAGAAAGCAATAGAAATCTGCATCTGTCTTTTCCACCTCTAATCACAAACATGTTTTTTAATCTGCTGAACTGAATGTCACCAAGTCTTCATGGAAAGTTTTGTCTATAAACCTTTGAGAGCAGCAATTAGTGAGAAATTATAAAGCTTTCCCTTCAGTTTCTCTTCAATTTGTATTCATGAATACAAAAGCAAGAGCACTCCTGAAAAAACCCAAACATATGCACAAAACCTTACCAGCATTAAATCCTCCTCGTTTTAGTATTAGTTCTGATATCAGCATCACCATAAGCTCTATGCCTTGATCAGATAATTTCTTTTATTCAAGCCTACAGCAGCTGGAAGATGATGAAACTAAAATGAACAAAAAAAATTCTAGGAGGAATTTAAATGCAATAACTGGGAGTTAAAATCTAATCTTTGTTAAATGCCTGCTGGGAGAACCATAAATATTTGCAACCATCTCTTTCCAAACCAAAAAATGATCCCAGCACATCGGAAGAGCATCTGAGAGCAAAGCCCTCAGGTACAAAACACATCCAATATGCTCATTACTGAAACTTCAAAAGCAAACAATCATTTCACATAAAAGTCTAGGATGGCCAACAACCACCAAATATTTAACTACCAAGCTCAATTATCACCAAATAAAACCGTATGAACTGAACACAGAACTGTAACAGAGTCAAAGGCATTAGCACACAACATTGGTTAGCACTGATGAAAAATCTGATGGGATTTGTTCCCTGCTGGGGTCTCAAATGCCACCATCAGACTTTGCTGCTACCACAGTGCTTCTGCAACAGTCTGAAAAGGTGGAAAGCACTGGATTTTTTAATTAATTGACCCATTTCAGAAATAGGATGGAACAAGCTTTGCTTGTTCCTGGAAAAATAAGGAAAGCAAAGGCAACTGGATCAACCCTGTTTTTTACATTAATGCTCTGAACATTTACTGGTTTTGAGATGACTCGAAGAGGGGGAGCAGAGAAAGCTGCAGTGCTGCTTCTCAAGAGAGGTCCATGAGTCGGGGACATGGTGCTCCAGGCCTAACAGAGCTGAGCAAGACAGCAAGGCAGTAGTTCCTGTTCCAGGCAGCCTGGCTTCAAAGAAAGATAAAACCTGGTGGTTTTCTTAAGAAATAAAAAACAAATGTGAGTGCTAAGTGACTTGTGCCAACAAGCAAAACGACACAGAAGAAGCATTTTAGCAGTAATTCTTTCTTCACTGGTTAAAGACACGCCAGGGCAAGGACAAACACTGTCTGAGCCAAAATGAACAACCTGTGTAGTACCATGTAATGACAAATTACTCTCACCACTACCATCATTCTTTAAATTTCTATGCAGGACAAGAACAAGTGGCTTTTCCAGGTACAACAACAAAGAACCAAATCAAGCAAAACACCTGAAAAGAGCTGTTTAACTTCTGGACTTAAAGCCACAAAACCTGAGAACATTATTGACAGGTCACATGCTCACAGGAGAACAGTTTGACAAACTGACAGTTTGGAGGAAAGGACCTACAGCTGTAAAGATGACTGTACATACACTGACTCCTGCTGTTCCTTCATCAGCTGGCACCAAGACACACAAATTACAGGTAAGCAGGGAAGTCCACTGAAGCTGTACTGCAGTAGCTACCCCAAATGCCATCCAAATCACAGAAGCTAAATTGCTAACATCTCTTCTAGTTTGTCTCAGGTCTAGCTCATCTTAAATCAACTTTTGCTTCTCCTAAAGACAATTTCTGTATTGTTGTTTTTCATCAGCTCACATCACTGCCCTCCCCAGATTTAAATGGGCAACAACAGAGGGAAGTATTAAAATTTTAAGCCTTCTCACTTCAAAATGCATTTTCTTTCCTACAGTATTTTACAAAGTACAGGCCTGCACTAAATTTTTCAGAGATGCATCTATTCATCATCATAGCCTGTCTCACATAATTTGATGTACAAAATGCTGACCCCAGGTAGAACGCCTTAGTCAACCACAGAGACCAGGGACTGATTGATACAAGCTTGGATTTTATACTTCAAATTTCCTCTAAAGTCCTGTGCAGAAAATGAATTTCCATTGTCTGCAAATCAATGAAGGAAGAATGATTTCCTCTTATTGTCTACTCCTGAATTTCTAGATTATAAATCATCCTGAGTTTTAAGCTCCAAATTTCCAAGTTCTACAAAGGGTCTGCCTTCCCAAGATCTGGCCAGGAAAAAGTTCTCTTAAAATAAACTTTTCTATTATTCAATTAAAGCTGGAGCAATGAAAATGCCTTTTTAAGTTGCAGGAGTTCTGTTCAGGGGAAAGTACAAAAAGTATCTTTCAAATTTCAAGTACTGAACGATTGTGAGCAGTGTCAAAACAAGTTCATTTCAAATAATGTGTATATATAAACAAAGCTCAAAAGATATGTAAAAGGATTTGATTTACATGGTGAATGTTTTTCAAACCTCTGCTCTGGAAGAATCTGCAGTTTGACCTGAAACTAGACTAACAAAAAGAACTGATGCCATTCAATGGCCATGACTTTTAGAACCAATTCACTGATACCTATCAAGGCTGTTTTTCATCAGCCACTCACTATACAGATCTATATATAGCCAGTGTTGTGTTTTGACCAGCACAGAAAGAATTCTGTCAAATATGAGATCACAAATTCTAAAAGCAGAATTTTATGAAGGACTGCTTGAATTTAGCAAGCTGGAGCCCTCCGTCATAATCATTATGACAGTTTTATGATGAAGATGAAGTTTATTTGCCACCAACATTAACAGGACAAATTTATTTATAACAAATGCTTTAAAATGTACTGATAAAAATGCCTATTGATACTGTCAGAGCTGCTTGCAATTTGACAGATCAAATCTTATTTTCATTCTTAAACCCCATGAAGGAATGGTATCACCAACTTGCATTCTGTAGTGAGCAAATTGATTAATCCCCCTCTATAGAAATCCCAACTCTTGATTAGACCTATCAGACGTTAAGCAGCATTATTCTAGAGTGACAACACTTGACAAATTCCCAAACCATTTTTCTCAGCCTTTGTGGCCCTGCTAGCTTGTATTAACCCTGATGAAAAATTAATTTTCCTTATCTTCTGCTAAACCCCAAAATCCAAATCCGCCAAACTGGCAACTCTTTCTGTAAAGGTATTATGAAAACCTCTAAAAGATTAATTGCATGTCTTCAGGTGACATTAAATTAATTTCTGTACTCGTGACAGACATTTGATACTCCGTACTGAGAGGACAGATAACATTGTCAGGATACACAGAAGGACAGTGGTGCAGTGTCCCAGGGCAGCCTCTTATGAATTCTCCTTTCGATAAGGCCATACTTCACTGTCATTGGCACTGTTAGTGATCTTGCAGCCCACAGACCTC